CACAAACACCTTAGGGCGCCCTGACCTGTCCCGGGCAGCATCCCCCCTCCCCTCCCCATATTGCTGCGGTCACTTCCGCAGCCAGATAAAGCTGAAGTGGACCCTGGCAGTCGCCGTGACCCTGCCCTAAAATGGTCATTTCTAGGAGCCCTTGAGTGACTCTCTGTACGCCGAGCGTCTCTGCGTCACCCAGACGTCCCCTCCTCTACCTTAGCCCACTCAGTGACCCCGGACTCGAGGGGATGGTCACCGTGGGTGTTTATGGAGAGCTCTGCGCTTCGTGGGGACCTCTTACCGTTGGTCACCGTACACCCCGAGCATGACAAGGGTCACTGGTGTTTTATGGGGTAAGCGCCTGCGTGTTGGGAACGGTGGACACTCCGCAGCTCAGGAAGGGACGGGTGCAGGGCCGTCCCCGGGACCCTCTGGGGCCCTGCCGATGGCTTCAGAGGGACGTTCGTGGCTGTGCTTTCTGATGTCACGTAAGCTCAGTGCTCATGTGCGTCCGTTGTGCCGTTGACACCTCCCCGGAGCTTCCTGGAGTCCACCTCCCTTCATCATTACGCTCCATGGAGGAGTGGCCAAAAGTCCAGTGTGCTGGGCGCAGGTGGTCCCGGGACACTGCTGGGGGCTGAGGAACAGCTCTCGGTGACGGTCCTCTGGCCACTGTCCCCACGCTCAGGCCCGGCCCCGTGGCCCTGTGGAGAGAGGCCTGCTGGGGCTGCAGGGATGAGCTGAGGGGGTGCTTCTAAAATGCTCGTTAATTGTTGAGTTTAGACCGGTTTTCTTTCCTGTTAATGTTATTTGGGGAAGTAGTTGTTAGGTTGTAAAAATAGCAATCCCATTGTTAGTGGCTGGGCCAGGCACAGCTTGTCGTGTAGGAAGCAGTGACTCCCCAAGGCCTTGGGGAGGGGGTGTGTCTGCCCAGCAGGCGAGTCGTTGTTTTAAAAGTCAAAAAAAGGGAGTTAAATCGACACTCGGTTTTTTTATTTGTTTAGTTTTTTATTGACTTTGAGAGAGAGGAAGGGAGCGGGAGAAACGTCAATGATGGGGGAGTCACTGGTGGGCCGCCTCCCGCAGGCCCCCGACCGGGGATCGAGCCCCCAGCCCGGGCGTGTGCCCTGACCGGGAATCGGACCCGCAGCCTCCGGGGTCCTAGGTCGATGCGCAGCCGCTGAGCCCCGCCAGCCGGGGCCGCACACCGGGTGTGAAACGGAGAGTCCAGTTTGTTCGCACTGACGGCAGTGTCAGTAACGCGGACGGGCTGAGGGCCCACGCGGAGGAAGCGCGGGAGGGCGGCCGGTGTCCGGTCACGGGTGTGCGTGTGCAGACGCCACCCCTCCGTCCACGTGGACGCAGACACGCAGACACGCAGGCTCACGGCGCCTCCCGCGTGGCTGAAGAGCGGCGGTGGTCACCGCGCGGCCCCGGAAGGGTCCGCTGGGGCCTCTGAAGCCAGACTCGGGTTCAGCGACTCAGACACGCGCTTCAGAGGAGCCTCTTGTCACGTCGTAAACTAGGAACTAGAACAAGACTGTAAACCACTTACAAATGCTCAGCTGGCGCAGAGACCACAGCCCCGGAGAGACTGTGAGCATTAGACAAGCTCAGGACACGTCGTAGGAGAAGCGCCCACTCACCTTTCCCACCAGACGCCGCCCCAGGGTCCCCGCGTCGCCTCCACGGAGGGCGGCTCCGAGAAACCCATGATCTTGGTTCTGGAGGCTGCAGGTCCGAGGTCCAGGGGCCGGCAGGGCCGGTCCCTCCACGGCCACAAGGAGACTCCGGTCCCCTCCCCCAGCGCCTGTGGTTCACGGGCCACGCTTGGCATCCTTGGTGTGTTGGAGGAAAACCCCGGCCTCCGCACGGTGCTCGCCCGTGGGCGCCTCCCGGTTCCCCCTCCCGTAAGCACAGTGTCACGTTGGATTCGCGCCCACCCGAGTGACCTCATTCCCACTCGATCGGCTCCATGAAGATTCTGTCTCCAAATACGGTCACATTCTGAGGCAGGGGCTTAGGGCTCAACGTGAGAATTTGGGGGGGACACAAACTGTGATAATCCCTGTTGGACTGTTGGAAGGGGTTGGTCGTGTGAGTAAGGAATTTTAATTTTTCTAAGACTGATAAAGAAAGTGGTCTTTCTGTCTGTTTTCAGAGACTTTCATACTTGTTCATTTTTTTTAATTTTAATTCAAGCTGGGGGAGGGCAAAAGCAGACATCTGCATGTGCCTCGGTCCCTGAGCAGGGTCAGGGGGCCCAGCTCCCTCTGCCCGAGGGGGGACCCCGCAGGGACCCGCGCTCCCTGCTGCTGGGCCAGCCGGCGGCTCAGTCTCGGGGTCGACGCGTCACGTGCGCTGGCCTGTCCTGGGCGGTTCAGGCCCTTCCTTTGTCCCTGAAAAATAAACGACTGGTCACCAGCGCACATTAGCCCTGCTTAGAATTCCTGGTGAGAAACGGTGGGTGGGGATCCGCGCGTTGGCCTTTCCCCACTCGGCTGCGGGTGGGCTTTGGGGCCTCAGCTTCCTCACCGAGGAAACGAGCTGCGTCCTTAGCTGACCCACAGCCGGCTCTGGCTCCCGGCTCTCCTGGGGTGAGCTCCGAGGCGCTTGCACAGCGCAGGCCGGGCGCGCTGTCCGAATGACGCTGTCCGTCTGTGGGTGGCTGCACTTGAGCCTGTGTCCTTCATCTTAAGACTCTGACCGTCGGTTTCTGTGGGCCGGCAGGTGGACGGGATGGTGGTGGGTGTGATCGCTTCTCCGCAGAATAGCTGCTGAAACAGGCTCGTGACGCGACGTTGCTGCCCCGCCTTCAGGCGGCGTCCCCAGCGAGGGGATTCGTCTGAGGCGTGAACTGTGATTCCGTTTCTTAAATGCTTCCTCGCGGTTTGTGTGTTTTGGGTTTTTTTGTTAATCTTCTCCCAGAATATTGTTTCCGTTGATTTTTTATTTTTTTAGACAGTGGAAGGGGTCGGGGGGTGGGGGGGAGAGAGAAGCATCCATGTGAGAGCCATCGATTGGCTGCCTCCCACACGCACCCCGACCGGGATCGAACCTGCAGCCCAGGTACATGCCCTTGACCGGGAATCGGGCCCGAGACCCTTCCGTGCGTGAGCCACTGCTCTGACCGCTGAGCCAGACCGGCCAGGGCCCTTCCTCGGTGTTTTGAAACTGAACGTTCACCAGCGAACAGGATGCCGGGAGCACAGGTTCTCAGTGCGCCTCTCGTTTCCTCACAGGGATCTGCGCTTCAACAGAATCCGAGAGATCCAGCCCGGAGCCTTCAGGAGGCTGAAAAACCTGAACACCTTGTAAGTCCCAGCCCCCCGCTGGCCCGCGGGCAACAGCACACGCCCGTGGCCCTCACGCCATCGGCAGCAGGGCCTGCTTTTGAGACGTGTGTGGCGAGGCCCCCGTGTCCCCATGGTGGCCACGGTCCTGCCCAAAGTGCCCAGCCCGAGAGCGAGCGGGATAGAGGGTGCTCTGTTGGGGGGGAGACGGAGCTATTTATCTACCGTATTCAAAGGTGAAACAGTTTTGGCTGGTGGGACATGGACACACGTTACTGGAGAAAACTTGGGATCAGGAAGGTCAAATGCCGAAAGTGCTATTTTTCGGTGTGTCGNAGTGTGTCGATTTAGCATTTGGCGAGTGCCGATACTAAGCTCTGTAGTGGAACCATTTCGTGGCGCTTTTCCAGGCCACGGGAATGTTTTCTCAAAGTGTTTCAGAGCTGCCGTGTTTTTAATTCTGACCAAAACCCTGTTTTGTAGGCTTCTGAACAACAACCAGATCAAGAGTATACCTGGCGGAGCATTTGAGGACTTGGAGAATTTGAAATATCTGTAAGTGCAACATCAGCTCCTTACACCAAAGCCGACGTTAGTTGTGTTTGGACTGTCTGATCACCAAGCTCGATTTTGTCCCGTTATGAACTGTTGTAAATACTTCATTTTAAAGAGGTTTTGTTTTCAGACGGTGAGTGGGGTTTTGCCTGGGTTTTAGATGAGTTGTCCTAGGTACAGGCTGAATGAGATTAAACTCCGTGGCCTCGGACAGTCACCGGGATGGCAGAGTGCCACCTGGACGGCGTAGTGCCACTGCTTGGCGTGGGCGCTGCCCATCTGGTCAGCTGCCAGCCTGGGGAGCAGCCTACCGGCTTTGTAAGGTAGAAGCATCCAGAGCCGTTTTCATGGCCTTGGGGACGCGTAAGCCCTTCGGAATGTCCCTGACTCCTGTTACTGCTCCCACCTGCCTCCGGGTGATTTCACCTCTTTTTGTTATGTAGTTAAGTTTGAAAACAGATTGTAATTAATTTATTAGCATGAAACCATCTGCTTGTTGAAGTGAGTTCTGCTGTTTAGGAAATGACCTCCCGGGGAAGTGCTGTTTGCCTGCCTCAGGGACAATTACCATAAAATTAAACCGGGAAAAAAAAAAACTCCTCTGGGCGCCTTCCTGGTCTGGGGGGATTAGGAGTCTGTGTCAGGTGCTTTGGGCAAAACTATTCTTACTTTTAGGACTTAGATGCCTTTTTTAATAGAGCCATTTTAATGAGGGATTTATATCAGTGCTTTTTGGGGGGGAAATTAATGTTCTATGTGAACGTGAACATCTTTGACATCCTTCGGTTTTTAAAAAAATACATTTTTATTGATTTCAGGGAGAGGAAGGGAGAGAGAAACATCAGTGATGAGAGAATCATTGATCGGCTGCCTCCTACACACCCCCAACTGGGGATTGAGCCCCCACCCCGGGCATGTGCCCTGACCGGGAATCGAACCCTGACCCCCTGGTTCATAGGTTGACGGCTCAACCACTGAGCCACGCCAGCCGGGCAGTCATGTCGATTTTTAAAACAAAGTCATGTTATCGGTGTTGATGTGTATGTTAGAATCGGTTTGATTTTAGATGCCTGGTTCTTAACTGCAGAGCTGACTTTAACTGTTTATTAATACGTTTTCCTCAATGAAGGTTTCGAACGCGTTGTGTGTGGACATTTTCCTTCGCCCCTTTAGGTGCAGTGTGTTAATCTTATTCTGCGTGAACATCACGAAGCCTTATCACTCGTTTCTGAAATGAGGGGCAGGCCTCCTATTTATTTGTCTCGTCTCTGTTGGTTTGTTTGCTCTGTTGTCACTTTTTAAAATTTTAAGTGCTATTCAATCCAGAAGAAAACTTCCTTTTCTTGGAAAGCGGGGTCAGTCTCCGACCGCCAGCATTCGTAGTGTGTGTGTTTAGCTTGTTTTCATTTCATGTTTAGTTTGGTTTGAACTACTTAAGAGCAACTTATTATTGACTTTGCAAATATATTTAATGTGAAGGAGTTTGGAATACTGCGTTTTGCACTTCAGACAATCTCTTTTCAATGGTACTTTTCAAACCTTGTCTGCTGACCTCTCCCGTGTCTCCCACCCAAACGTGCCCACAGTGCCACTGCCGCAGGCATGCCGGGCGTGGGGACGGGCGGGGCAGTGGTCAGGAAGGGGAGGACGGGACCACGGTGAGCAGGGTGGTGCAGCGACCGGGAGGGGTCCTGGGGACCCCGATCTCCAGCTGCTCCCAGGTCCCAGCCTCCTCCGCGCCCCTCGGCCCTCACTGGAGACTGCAGTTGGTAGCACTGGTTTCTGGGCCACGTGATGGTATAATGTCAACGTCCAAAGAGTCTTCTGGAATTTACTGATTATTTAAACCTGCTATAGTTAGTCAGCACCCAAGTGTATGTTAGCAGGTGAGGATTCCCTGCCTGCTGCAACCTCAGTTACTTCTGGTCTGAGGCATAGAGCTTCCCCCACGTAGTATTTTCTGACGATGAAATTCTCTTATTATTTGTTTGTTTATTTGTATCCTCACCTGAGGATATTTTTTCCATTGATTTTTCAGAGAGAGAGGGAGGGAGAAGCATCGATGTGAGAGACTCATCAACTGGTTGCCTCCAGCAGGCTCCCCGACAGGGGGCAAGGAGCGAATTCACAACTCCGTGCCCTTGACCGGGAATCGAACCCGAGACGCTTGGTGCTCGGGCGGACACTCTAACCACTGAGCGCACCAGCCAGGGCGAGATACTCTCTCGAGACCTAGAGCATTATTTATAATTATTACTGGCAGGTGATGGATACCCAGTTGCTCTTATGAAAACAGATCACGTTCCAGTGTCTTCACTGACATGCGTTTTCGTACGTGTTTGTTTGGTCCGAGTGTTTACGCTCGCCTTCCGAGGATCCTTACTCCCACTTTTTTAAAGTGCGTGCAAGCTGATGGTCATCGTGTTCCATTTTGTTTTTAAGAAATGGCAGGGAAATTCTCTCCTCCAGGAGTGAAAACTCGCCCCTACGCGAGTGGCCACGTGCGGGGCCATGTTCCCAGCTTCCTACCTGTTTATTTGATGGCCGTGACCCGGTGAGACGTGGCCATTCTCTCCGTGTCACATGGAGGAAACCAAGGCGGGGAGGGCCAGGCCGTTCTCGCTCCAGACCACACAGCTAGTGCGCAGCAGCGGGTCAGGCCCACCAGCCTGGTGGGGAACCGCGGGCCCAGGTCCCTGCCACGGGCACCGACTGGCTGGTTTGTGTTAAGGCTCGTGGTTCACTGTGAGGTCACCTCGGCAAATTCCCTCAGCAATGGGACAGAGGGACAGTGACAGTCACAGAGCAGACCGTGTTGAACGGGGCCCGGCACCCACACTGTCAATTGAAAACAGACACAGGCCCTTCTGGAAGCGTAGTATGCAATACTAGAGGCTTATGGGAAACGTCATTTATAAGGGGAGCAGGTGGGTGGAAACCCAGACACTGGGGGACGGAAGTGAAGAGAAGCTTCCACCTGAGGCCAGAGTGCAGGGGAGGGCGGCTGCGACCCAGGCCCCTGCTTAGGGCTGAGGCCTGAGTCCAGGACTCATCACCTCCCATGATGCTCTGGGGCTCCCTGCGGTCCGATTACAGACCCTGAGGACTGTGCTGGGAAAGGCAGATGGACAGACCCACCCACATGGTGTGTCCTTCCCTGAGTTGCAAGTTTTTACTGAGAAAGGACCAGGCATTACACACGAGGGGTGTCACGGGCCACGCTGCCACAGGTGTGGATGGCATTAAATGAGTGGGTGTGGCCAGGGGCCACCAAAATGTCACGGACACCGAAATGTGAATTTCACATCATTTTTTTTATGATCCTTGCCTGAAGGTATGTTTTTTGGTGTGCGGGGGTTTTGTTTTTTGTTTTTTGTTTTTAATTTTAGAGAGAGAGGAAGGAGGAGAGAGAAATATCAATTGGTTGCTTACTGTACAAACCCCGACTAGGGGTCAAATCCAAAACCTTTTGGTGTATCCGACACTGCTCCAACTAACAGAGCCACACCAGCCAGTGCAATTTCATATAATTTTCACGTGCCTTGAAATACTGTTTTTTGTTTGAAATTTTTAACCATTTACAAATAAAGACAGTATTCTTAGCTTGCCAGCCCTCCAACACCAGGCAGGGGCCCAATCCTGCGCCTCCCCTTGCAGGTCTGCTGCTCCGTAAGAAAGTGGCCTGGCTTCATTTTTTGCAAGTATCTGTCCAATTTCCCCAACACTATATTTAATAGAGTGTCTTTATCCCATTGTATGTTCTTGCCTCCTTTGTCAAATATTAATGGACAATAAAGGTGGGGTTGATTTCTGGGCTCTCTGTTCTGTTCCCCTGATCTATGTGTCTCTTTTTATGCCAGTACCATGCTGTTTTGATTACTACGGCCTTGTAGTATAGTTTGATATCAAGTAGCATGATTCCTCCAACTTGTAGTTTTCCTTTGAACACGGGGTGGGGTGAGTAAGAGGAGCTGACTGACTGTGCCCTGCCCCCTCTGTGTCTTGGTCCCACCACCGCATCTGACACTCCCCAAGCCGAGGTGACTGCCTGTCCTGGGTCCTGTCTCTAACGCTCCCTGTTTCTTCTTTCAGCTATCTGTACAAGAATGAAATCCAGTCGATTGACAGGCAAGCGTTTCAGGGACTTTCCTCTCTAGAACAACTGTAAGTGGCCTGCATGTGCCCTCGCTTTTCAGGTCCCGCCCGCCCCGCGCCTCTGCAGGGGGCGCGGACCATGTGCTGTTTGCATGACGCATGCTGTGCGTGGGCGTCGGGGGTGCGTGCATGCCAGGTCCAGCTGCACCGGCCACGTGAAGCAGCGTGGCTGTCTGTCCGACCCAGTCCCTCCGTGGTAGATGTTCCCTGGTCTCTATTGTTCCCAGTCCCTGTGCCATGCTTGGTGACACAGACAGTAAGGCCGATCGGCCCCGTGTGGTGGGGCCCCCGGCGTACGAGAGTCAGACTTGGAAACCAGTTCGAGGGAGGAGAGGTCCTTCGGGGATGAGAGTGGGGGCCGTGGCCTGGGGCTGATCTCAGTGTCCTGCTTCCTGTTTGTGAATCTGCTCTCAGCCAGTTCGCTTCACACATGATGTCATTACTCTGGAGAGAATAGGCGTTTCCACGTGTTTCTGGTTAGTGCACGGAGGAGGCTGTTTCATATGGATGCCCTACTTTGCTGTGAAGTCAGCAGGTTCACTTCTAGGTAGAGTTCCTGGTAAAAGCAGTTTTGCTGGTTGATTGCTTGGCTGGTCCCCTTTCGGTCACTGAGCTGAAGCCATTCTGAGGAGCTTGGAGTTGTCAGAGTTTTACTTCCAGGGACGAGAGGCAGCTTTCACGCCCTGTGCCCAGCCTGGGCCCTGTCTGTGCGGCTGGCAGGGCCACGAGAGGTCTGGGTGGAGCTGGGTCGGGCTCACCAGCAACGACACGCTGTGCTCCTGTTTCCCAAGAATCATTTGTCCACTCGAGTGAGAGCTGTTTCCCAAGCTGGTGTGCTGGACGTTGTCTGTAAGAGGTTGTGCATTCTCTGCTCAGAGAGGAGGAAACAGTTCAGTTTCCAACGGTGAAAACATGGAAATATCTGGGCAACGTCAGATGGGGGAGAGTTTACAGAGGAATCAGTTCTTGTGTCCAACGTGCTCTTAGTGGAGCAGGGACAGTGAGACCCTTGGAGCAGAAACGGGTGAGGACTTGGGTGCTTGTCCACTTTGTGGGGTGAGCTGAGCTACTCTTAGGGATGAGGGAGGCAGAGGGTCGGCCTCTCCGAAGCTGGGACAGGACTTCCTGACAGACGTTCAGGAGGTGGCGGGCACATCCGATCCAGGCTGCCTCGAAGCCCAGGGTGGGGGGGTCAGGGGCCTGTGCGGCTGGGATGTCAACCCCATCGGTGTCATCGCCCAGTCCCAGGGGGGTGAACACACAGGACCGGTCCCCAACCTCAGGGAGGGCCCTCCGTAGGGGGACATGGGCATCCCATCAAGAGCTCGGGTCACGTATCATGCCTGCTGTGTGCAGGGCTGCGGGTCTGGGCAGGGGCTTCAAGCTGGGTCTCTTTGAGTCCGTCCCCTCCTGTCGAGTCCCCCCGGGCCACCCTGAAGGAGGGGAGGCTGGAAGGGTCGAGCCCATGGAGCCCGGGGCTGGAGGGGGAAATGCGAGCCCCAGGCCTCTGGGCTCTGCTGAGCCTCTCAGGTGGTGCCCGGGAGGCTGGGGTCAGGAAACAGGTTGGAATGGGTGGCCCGCTTCCTGCCCGTGGTCCTTGGTTTCCTCCGCTGTGGGGGGCCTGGCTGGCCCCCCAGGCTGCCTGCACCTGTTCACCCGTCTGTGGTGATTCTCAGCGTGCTTACTGCAGGACCCAGCATCCTGCTGGTCGGCCCTCTTCCTGGACAGTCTGAGTGGGGCCGTCAGTGCCAGACGAGAGCATCCTTCCCTTTTCTCCACTCGGTTGGCTTCACCCAGGACTTGTCCTACCTGCCCGGCTTCCTGCCCAAATTCCTCTGAGCATCACCGCTGAGCATGTCTGTTCCCCGTGCTGTGCCCCCGACTGCCCAGTCCCGGGAGCTGCTCCTTGGTGGCTGTGGGAGATTCTTGTTTATTTCCGGCTCTGGACAACGTCCTGTGATAGAGGCTGGGGGAGGTGCCCAGTGACCTGGCTCTGAGCCCCGGAGGCCTGAGGTCTGCAGGTCCCCAGCTGTGGCCCATCCTCACCCTCCTTCTTGGAGACCCGGAGTCACTCGTCTGTGGGGTTGTCCTGGAGAGCTGGCCCCGGGGAGACCCGGGCACCAACAGGGCAGGGTGTGGGCAGGTGACGGTTGCAGTGATTTGAAAAATTAGTGTCTCTGGTGACAGAGGGTGAGCTTTGAGAGTGCTTTCCTCTGTGCTCATGAGACAGACCCAGGACGGCTGGTGCTATGATTGTCGCTGCCGTTGGTCCCCAGCATCTCTTAAAGAACCTGACATTTAAACCATGTGCTTTGGTGGGGAGGGTGCCCGGGCCGAGGGCATGTGGGCAGACGGGAGCCATCCAGAAAGTGACTCAAAGTGTTTTACTTCAGGAAAAACCTCACCATTTTTAAAATGAGAAAAGCAGCGATCAGGGAAGTCAGGGGGAGACGTCATAAATGCAAAGAAGCACAAACTCTGGGTGCTCCGTGTCAAAATTAAAGGACATTGGAGGAAACACAGTATCTCCCTGAATTCAGGCCGATTTCCTCTCGTGATTCCAAAGTAGCTTCTGCGGCTGACCTGACTCTCCATGTTGAGTTAACGTTGCTCCCCCCTGGATCCCTGTGTAATTAGAGTCGAATGAAAGTATTCACACGCCTGGGTATGGGCCATAATTGGGGCTGTGCTGACTTTTCTTCTAGGAAGGTCCAGATATTTTGAAAGTGGATCAGTGGGCTGGGCAGTCAGCCCCCCTCCCCGCCCCCTTCCGGGTGTGACAGGACCTCGGCTGGGTGTCTGACCCACAATGTCACTGTCCCCTCTGTCATGCGAAGTCGGGCCTCGTTTTCAGTTGTATTTGGTGTTTTCATTGCTTTGTAGTTTTCCTCACGGCGTAGAAAAAAAATCTAGTTATCTATTGATGTGTGAATTTGAAATGACTTTAGAAAACAAATTTGAGCTAAAAATCTAGACCTGTAAAAAGTAATTAAAATCATTTAAGTTGTTTCTTTCTTTCTTTTTTTTAACTTCTCTAGATACCTGCACTTCAACCAGATAGAAACTCTGGACCCCGAGTCCTTTCAGCATCTGCCGAAGCTGGAGAGGCTGTGAGTCCCTCTGTCCCTGACCTTCGCCAGCCGGGGCGGGGCTGGGGCGGGGCCGGGGCGGACCCAGGGCTCTGCCATCTGCTCTGACGCAGTTGAGGTCGTTCATTGAAAATGGTCTTGGCCTAACATCTGTGCCCCTCGTCCAGCAGTTCAGAAACAGGACTAATAATTTTCTCTTTCCATGGGAATGGCGATAAAATAGGGAAAATATCTACTTTTCTGGAGTCGTGGTTCTTAAATTTCATTGGTGTTGAATAAACGTGGTCACTGCAATTTTTTTTAAAAAGCAGGCTTATTCGACTGGTCTCTTCTATCTAGATGTACTTTTGAAAGTTGTTTCTTGTATTGTCTCTTTCACAGATTTTTACACAACAACCGAATTGCACACCTGGTCCCAGGGACGTTTAGCCACTTGGAGTCCATGAAAAGACTGTAAGTTGACAGCTTTGTGCTGTGCTCTCAGCTCCCCACGCCTGGGCCTCCGTCCTGGGTGCTGTGACGGGGGCGTCACAATCTGAGTACCGATCAGGGGACAGAACCCACCTAAGCAGGTGGACTCCACCCGTCAGGGGGCACAGGGGAGTGGCGTCGTCTGGAGGGGCGTCCCGTTTGCACTGGGCCCCGTAGATCCCACTGTGGGTGGCCATCCGAGAAATGACCGTTCAGGCTGGGGACCGGCTCTGTCCACATTCCCCTCTGAGCCCGTGTCCCGGGGGAAGCCAGGTGGCAGGTGTGATGGCACCGGCCTCGGTCTCCCTGGGGGCCCTGGGCCAGCCGTGTGGACTCAGGATGGCGAGTTCAACCCCGCGCTCCCCACTCTGTAGCTCTGGGCCCGTGAGATCTTCCTCCGTGAAGGAGACGGCGCCTGCTGAGCAGGTTTCGTAATGAGCCCCTCGCGCCCGTTCGCCACGCCTGCCACGCGAGGAGCAGCCGTCCTCAGGGTGGCGCTCCTGCCCCGTGGCAGTGACTCCTCCCCTGTGTACAGACGCGGCCTTTCCCGGTGGAGGGAAACCGTCCTGTGTCCGGCTGCCGTGTGTCGAGCGTCACACATACTTTCCGCAGCAACCTTGACAGAGACGTTCGTCTGTGAGATTCGCGTGTTCAGAGCTAAACCCCAGTCATGGTTGCAGCCCAGAGTCATGTCGTTTGGGAGAGTCAGTGACCAAGGGAGGCGATGTGATAACAGTGCCTGGGACGAGGGAGTTCGGGACGGTGACAGTTGGTGTCCGGCTCTTCTCGCAGGCGGTTGGACTCCAACGCGCTCCACTGCGACTGTGAGATCCTGTGGCTGGCGGACTTGCTGAAGACCTACGCCAGGTCTGGCAACGCGCAGGCAGCCGCCACCTGCGAGTATCCCAGACGCATCCAGGGCCGGTCGGTGGCCACCATCACCCCGGAGGAGCTGGACTGTGGTGAGTGAGCCGCGTGGACGCTGCAGGGGGTGTGGCTGCAGGGCTGACTGTGCTCCGCTGTCCCCGGGTGATCCCAGAGTCGCGTCCTGGTGGGACCTGCCAAGGAGCCTCCTGTGCAGAGCCCTGCTCCATAGCTTCTGTAAGAAGCTATCTGTTAACAAACTTGGGTTTTATTTCGAGGTTCCCTACAAAAAACCAGCAGAATGAGGCACACTGCACTGCCTCCCTGCTGCCCCCTTGCAGGCAGCTGCCTCTAAAGGATCCCTGGGTAGTGCCAGGAGTGAGGTGCCCGACGGGGAGGGGCGGGAGCTGAGTGCTCTGCACCCCGAGCTGGGCCGTGGCCTCATGGGGTGCGAGGCTGAGGTTCATCCATCTGGACACCTCACCAGATGACCACGGAAAAACAGCAGAACCAAATCAGATTTCAGGGCAGTCTTCCTCACAGATCCCTGAGGAGCCCAGCCTTTTAATTCTAGCCCCTTTTTGGGCGTTAAAACGAATTTTTCAGTTCCTCCAAAGCATCATCATCATTTCTTACATATTAAAGGCAAACAGTGAAAATTAAGAACCTCTGCATTTCGTAAGTAACCCCACTGATAACACTCATTTGTCGTCCGGTCTGCTGCCCTGCCTGCTGGGTATGGCCCTCTGCACCGAGCTGCTGTGGCTGAGCAGGTGTGATTTTCTGTTTTTTAGTCCCTGGAAACTGTTATTTGTGGGTTCCCAGCCCGCACAGGGGTCGGGCTCCTTGGAGGGTCTGGCACCACTGAGGCCTGGTGCTGCTCCGAGACCGTCTTGGTCAGCGAGGGCAGGTCTCTGACGTTAGAAGATGCTGTGCAGAGACCCTCCCTGTGAGATGGCCTCTCCCTGGAGAAGCCCGGCTGCCACTTTTGTGGGAGTATTTGTGGTTGAGATACAGCGTAACCATCTGTGGTTTGCTCTTGACATAAAGGGTTTGGTTTGGGTCCTGTGTCCTCTGTGGTTTGAGACCCAGAAGGTCTCCGTCTCCTTGTTGGCACAGAAAGGCCCCGGATCACGTCGGAGCCCCAGGACGCCGACGTCACCTTGGGGAACACCGTGTTCTTTACCTGCAGAGCTGAGGGCAACCCCAAACCCGAGATCATCTGGCTGCGAAACAAGTAAGTCGAGGGTAAGACCGGACAGGCTAGGGGCCAGCCTCACCTGTGGGCCTGTGTTACCTGTGGGCCTGCTCCACCAGAGTGTCTTCCTCACCTGTGGGCCTGTGTTACCTGTGGGCCTGTGTTACCTGTGGGCCTGTGTTACCTGTGGGCCTGCTCCACCAGAGTGCCTGCCTCACCTGCTGGCTCAAGTGCTTATGGGAGGGAACTGGGCCGCATCAGTAAGAGTCTCATTTATGGGGCCCCTGAGGTTGCTTCCACCTAGAATACCTGGTAAACAAGGACGGGTTTCATTTGGGGGGGCTTGTTGCAGGTGGACAAGAGCGTGAGGAAGGGTGTGGGGCAGGATGGGTGCCTTTAGACTGGGGACACCGAGGCCTCTGAGTGCTGACCCCAGGGAAGTGTCCACAGTGGTGGTCCTGTTCGGTCAGTTTACATAATCTTTTGCATAAACATAAACGTTTCTACCCCATCATCTTGAATGAATTTGCCAGAAACAAAGGAAAAGTTGGTTTTGCTTTCTCTCCACTGTGCTCTTTTTTTCACTTTCGAGTGAGGACCACTTTAAGACTTAAATCTCTATAGGTGGCACATGTAAATAATAAACAGGTAATCGAATTAATCTGAGAGCCAACAACAGGCACTGTTCCCAGAAACACCAGTCAGGCCAGGGGCTGTTTGGGAAGGAAAGTTCCCGGGAGGCAGGGTCCCGCCCCCTCCACCTCCAGAGGCCCTCAGATGCTGGCAACCGCGCCAGGACCAGGACCTGCTGCTGGGATTAGGCCTGTCCTGTGCTTTAAGAGTCTGAACGTCCTGATGTCTCTCTTTGCAGCAACGAGCTGAGCATGAAGACAGACTCTCGCCTGAACCTGCTGGACGATGGGACCCTGATGATTCAGAACACGCGGGAGACGGACCAGGGTGTCTACCAGTGCATGGCCAAGAACGCGGCCGGGGAGGCCAAGACGCAGGAGGTGACCCTCAGGTACTTTGGGTCTCCAGGTATGTCGACAGGGTTACCGGGGAGGGTTCTTTCCAGGGTTGGCGTCCACCTTGACTCTTCTGCACCCCAGCTGGTGTAATGTGAGTGAGCACTGCAGCGTCCTGCGGGAGCTCCTGCAGCCGGGCTGGCCACGTGGCCTTTGACTCAGTATGGGGGGGTCGTGACCTTTGCTCTGGCCCACGTCAGCCCCTAGTCCAGGACAGACACTCAGAGTGGACAGTCAAGCAGGCGATGCTGTGAGGCAGCGTCCAGGGGCCACCTGGAGGGACATCACCCCACCCCTCCGACCCCCACCCCCCAACACGCTGGTCCGAAGGGGCAGCTGTCAGTTCCTGTTTGGCAGTGGAATCTCCATTGTGCTCAGAGCTGTGGTTATTGAAAAAGAGCCAAAATCTGGATTTTTATGTAAAATTCCAAGCTNATGGCCTTTGACGCAGTCATGGGGGGGTCGTGACCTTTGCTCTGGCCCACGTCAGCCCCTAGTCCAGGACAGNGTGGCCTTTGACTCAGTATGGGGGGGTCGTGACCTTTGCTCTGGCCCACGTCAGCCCCTAGTCCAGGACAGACACTCAGAGTGGACAGTCAAGCAGGCGATGCTGTGAGGCAGCGTCCAGGGGCCACCTGGAGGGACATCACCCCACCCCTCCGACCCCCACCCCCCAACACGCTGGTCCGAAGGGGCAGCTGTCAGTTCCTGTTTGGCAGTGGAATCTCCATTGTGCTCAGAGCTGTGGTTATTGAAAAAGAGCCAAAATCTGGATTTTTATGTAAAATTCCAAGCTCTAAAATGTTGGTACCTGGTTATAAAAGACGACCCTAGTCAAGCCAGGCACAGCTGTGCCCCACCAACCCCCTTGGTTGCAAACCCTGCCCCCATCCACCTGTTTAACTTTGGGAGGACAGGCCTGGGAGGAAAGGCCTTGTGGCCTAAGTCCGCCACCTCTGCTGAAACGGCACAAGCTGCCGTGTGCCCGGCGGGTCTGCACTGGCACGCCACCCGCTGGGATGCCGCCCGCTGGGATGCCGCCCGCCGGGACGCCGCCCGCTCCCGCTGGGACGGGCTGCACCTGAAACTGCCTCTGTGACGCCCGCCTGCCACTCTGAGCTTCGTCCGTAAAGCGCTCCAGGGTTTCCCTGGTACTTTATATTTCCTGCCATTGTCACTGGTGGTACAAGTGGTTTCTGCGTGAGCCTTTGTTTAGCTTCTTAGCTCTTTAAAACCGGCCTGATGTTCCCGTCGGGCGCTACATCCAGCACACACAGCCTACTTCTCAATGAATGAGAACCCAAGTGTCAGATTTCAGCTCAGCCGCAGCCAAGGGATACATTGTTGCTGATCCAGGGCCCTCATTAAACAGCTCCCACAAGTAACTAACAAGTAACAAAGCGCCGAGCAGGCTGCAGCTCCTCCTGGGGACCTCTGCGCTCGGGGTCCCAGAGGAGGGGGCTGCACCTGAGGAGAGAGGAAACCCGCAAAACAGTGGGCAAAGGGAGGCAGGGCTGCAGGAATCTGTCGCAGAGCCACGGGAAATAACAGCACATCAGGAGGGGCTCAGTGGGGTAGCCGGTCCCCTGGCTCCGGCACAGGAGCATCTGACCATCTGGACGAATTTTTGCTTTCTCCCCAGGAACAATAGCCTTACCTGGGGTACTACTCCGAGCATGCCAGTCTAGCTCCCTAAAATACACACAGAGGGCCTCCCACGACCCGTGACTTTTATAAACAAATGATGAAAAGGTGTTTTATGATTGGAGCTTTTTGGATTCCAGAATCATGGGTGATGGTGTTGGCCAAAGAAATGACACAGCAGTTAAATCAGACCTTTCACGTACCTGTCGTTTTTCACGGTTGTAAAGTGTTCGTGGGATGAGCCCCTCGCAGGGTGATTCTGGGTGGAGGGGTGTGGATTTCGGTTTCGATGTATCTGCGGCCACGTTACTCCAGGTGGGACGTGGCATTTATGATACTGATGCTTGAATTGTTTCTGTACAAACTCATAAAACCTACTAAGAGGATGCATTTTTTTCTCTAGATTTAGAGTGGAAAGGTATCATCTCAGTGTAGTTTTAATTTGCAAGTGAAATTTATTGTTTTCTATGTTCTAAATACATTTTCAAAACAGTGTCTTAAGTTTTTATTGCTTTTAGAGAGGAAAGGAGGGATAGATAGAAACACCAGCGATGAGAGTCGTTGACTGGCTGCGTCCTGCACGCGTCCTGCTGGGGATCGAGCCTGCAGCCCAGGCGTGAGACCTGCTGGTTCATGGGTCGGTGCTCAACCACTGAGCCACGCCAGCTGGGCAAAAACAGTGTTTTATACCCATAAGAACTACTACCGAGGTCGAAGACTGACGTAATGTATTTAGGAGAAGCCAAAGTCAGGTTTCTCCAGCGTTCAGCCCATGTTAGAGAAGACCTCGGCCCTCCAGCCACTGGTAGTCGCTGACCCCGTGTTTGGTGGAAGGTGGTGGACTGTTTTTATTTTCTTCACATTTCTTTAAAAAACAAACAAGACAGGAAAATGTGCAGTTAAATTGTGTGTGTTTGACCTAGTTTAGAGGTCAGTAGATAGAACAAGTAGCATGAAAATAGAAAAACTCAGGCAGATCACTGTTGCCCAACCGGAGGAATTAACTCAGAACTTGTGTTTCATCGTGACAGCTCGACCCACTTTTGTAATCCAGCCTCAGAACACGGAGGTGCTGGTCGGGGAGAGCGTCACCCTGGAGTGCAGCGCCACCGGCCACCCTCTGCCCAGGATCACCTGGACCAAAGGTGACCGCACGCCCCTGCCGGTGGACCCGCGCGTGAGCATCACGCCCTCCGGCGGCCTGTACATCCAGAACGTGGCGCAGGAGGACAGCGGGGAGTACACCTGCTTCGCCGCCAACAGCCTCGACAGCATCCACGCCACAGCCTTCATCATCGTCCAGGGTGAGAGCCGGTCAACGGGGGGACCCTTTCGCCCCGGCAGCCCCCGTGGGCCCTGACGCGCCCTCTGCCAAACGCACGGCAGGACGGGGCCCTCCTGTCCCCGGAACCGCCTTCGTTTTTACCCGTCCCACTTGCACCACCATCTGACTGTTACCTGCAGTCGAAGCTTCAGGAGGACGGGGCTCTGTTTTGTGAGGCGTAGCACCTGGAGAGGTGGCGTGTGCGAGCCGCGGGTGAACACGTGGGGGTGGGTGCACATGTGTGCACATGCGTATTAATCAGGAAGTCCTCATACATTTTGGGATTTCCTAGGGTAGATTTCTTGCACACAGGAGGCCCCGAGGATGCATAGTTTTAAGATGTGTGCTGTGCATTTCCAGATTTCTTACTTGACTCTATAATGAGTTTATTAGTGTTTTTTGTTGTCATTAATCCTCACCTGAGGATATTTTTTCCATTGATTTTAGAGAGAGCGGAAGGGGGGGGGAGAGAAACATCGAGTGAGAGAGATGCATGGATTTGTTGCCTCTCATACACCCCCGACCGGGGCCAGGGAACCTGCCACCCAGGGACCTGCCCTTGCCTGGGAATTGAACCTGAGACCCTTGGGTGCTCAGGCTGACGCTCTAAACACTGAGCCGTGTCAGCCAGGACTGAATTTATTAGTTTTTAAGTAAATTGCAAAGTGGGACATTTGTTGGGGCCTTGGGACAATACAGAAATGCAAAAACAGCGAGAAACTAGTTCTTTCCCTGCGCCTCTCTTCACCCACTTTTCTCTCCTCCACGGAAGACACTTCAGGAGGTTTGTTAACCCGTCGTCCTAGCTGCGGTTGTTACCTTTACAAAAATGGAATCACACTGGATACACTATCCTGTAACTGTTTTTCAAGCAATAATAACAAAGTGACCCCTACCACTGTGAACAGTTGCAACTTGATGACATTTTAACCGCTTGTGTGAGTCCTGACCTAGGTTGTGAGCGCGACGCCTCTAGTCCGCTCTGTACCTGCAGCTGCGTTGGGCTCAAAGGCTGGCTTTCGGCACGTTGTCGTGGTGATGCCGAGACACACCCACCCTCTGGCTTCTTTGCCCTTCCCCTACTTTTCCCCCATAACTGTCTTCCTCACCTGCTCAGGGCTCCTGCACCCGGCAGCGGGTGTCCTGTCACTCGGGACGGGGTCCCACGCTCAGGAGGACTGGCCAGCGCCAGCCTTGCAGCGTTCTTAGCAGAGCCGTCTTTTTAACACCGTGTTCCCCTTGTTTTGCCTTCTGGCAGCTCTTCCTCAGTTCACTGTGACCCCTCAGGACATAGCTGTGATCGAGGGTCAGACAGTTGACTTCCACTGCGAGGCAAAGGGCTACCCGCAGCCGGTCATTGCCTGGACAAAAGGAGGTAAGACGCCAACCTGGTCTCCGGCCCCGTCACCATCTCCTCCCTCGGGACACAAACTCCAAACCAGCTCTGTCTTCCTCTGGCCGAGCGATGGGTGAGCCCGACACGGCCAGGTGCTGGGAGGGCAGAGGCGTCTACCTGTCCTGGTCACAGGCCACCCCATACGCATCTGAGATGCATCCATACTGAAGGCCGTAGCCTATGCTCACGGCCACCTTCACCCAAATGGTCTGTGTCTTGCCTTAATGTACACCTAACTAGTATTAAATGAAATTGAGTAGCATGCAAGATAAACTTTCTGGAAAACCAACAATGGAATGTATTTTTTTAAAAGACTTATGCTTTCAATTTAATGCCCGGAGTTCTGCATCTTCTCCATCTTGTGTTGAGTGTTGGTTACATTGATTCTCTGGGTAGGACCCAGCCCTCTGTCTCCGGCTGGGGAACGGCTGGCCACGTGCCTTGAGGTGCAGACCTTTTCCCGGGGGTGACGCAGCCCAGCTGGGAAGGTCGGGGTGAGGGAGGCCTGGTGCCAGTGCTGGTGGACCTTCAAGGTCCTGTCCTGGACGCCATGTGGGGTGACCTTGAGAACCAGCTAATGACCTCTGCTTCTACCCCTTTCTTCCCCGAGGGGACCTTTCCAGGGATTCTCTAGATCTACCTCCCTGCTCTCGGGAAGAAAAGGCTGTGGCTCCACCCCCGGGGAATGCGTGAGGGCCTCACTGGGTCCTTGGCCTTTAAGAACCCCCAGTCTCCTGCCCTCTGCCCAGCTCTGTCCTATTACACGCAGCATCGGACCAGCCTCTCCCCAACCCCAAGTGGGTGTGGATGCTGCCCGAGGCCCCTGCCATCCTGACTCCTGCTTACCTGGCTCGTATCTCTGCCCCCCACCCTCCGGGGACCTTCATGGGTCAGGAAACGTGTTCTGTTTATCGTTGACCTGGCTGTACGCAGCCTGTGACGTCACATCGAGCAGGCGTGTCACAGGCGCCTGGGGGTGAAGGAACCGTTTGCTGACCAGACCGCCCAAAGATGGCTCCGGCCCTAGTCGGGCAGAGACAAGTTTCTGGGGCCATCTCATGTCCTCAGAAAAAGTTCTGCTCGACCCACCTGTGAGTAGTGTCACACCGTGTGTCCGTGTGACTGACCGATGTTTCTGTGCCCTGCAGGGAGCCAGCTGTCCGTGGACCGGCGGCACCTGGTCCTGTCGTCGGGGACACTCAGGATCTCGGGCGTCGCCCTCCATGACCAGGGCCAGTACGAGTGCCAGGCGGTCAACATCATCGGCTCCCAGAGGGTCGTGGCACACTTGACGGTCCAGCCCAGAGGTACGTGGCTGGGGCCTGCCTGGTGGACATGCGGCTGAGCAGACGGGGCAGCGGCCAGGCCACCTGCACCGAGGTCACGGCCCTGCTCTTACCAGCAGCTGGCTCTGTCTTTCTGAATAACAGTCCTTTGTCCTTGGATCCCAAGGGACTATGTTGCAGCTCGTTAAGTCTTGCACTTTAGCCCCTATGATAGTGTTTTTTTGTTTTAAATTTTTATTTTTAAAATATGTTTTACTGACTTTTTTGAGGGAGAGAAAGGGAAAGAGAGTGAGTCATCGATCAGCTGCAGGATCCCCGCCTGGGGATCGGGCCCAAAACTCCGGCATGTGCCCAGACCGGGAATCAAACTGACCTCCTGGTTCACGGGAGGACACTCAGCCACTGAGCCACACTGGCCAGCAGCTTTGTTTTTTAATGGTGCTTGTACTGAACTCTGATGGGCTGACTCGTCACAGCAAGCTGACTAGTTTTCCATTGGCTAATAATATTACTTTAAAGAAGGGCCGTAGTGGAGGCCTCTGACCCCCTGACCGTGTCCTGGAGGCGCAGTTCTGTTTCTGTTTGCCCCCGAGCATTCTGAGGTCCCATGTTCTCTGACTCAGAAGGACCTGGTCACCTCTCAGGGCAGACGTCTGCAGGTGCAGAGTGGGGGTCCCAGGTCTTATCTGAGGCCTGCCTGGCTCTCGGTTTGCAGGTTTGCCCATCGGTCCTGACGGGCCGGGACTCTGGGCGGCCTGTTGGGTGAGAACTTGCAGGGAGGGAGGGGAAGGGTCCCGCACAGGCCCCAGGCTCCTCACTTCCAGGCGAGAGAAGCTCACGCTCAGCCTCCGGTTCCTTCCCCGGTCATCAGGGTTTCGGGTCCTAGGGACGCAGGGTGGACCTTGGACTCCGCGCTCAGGCGCCTCAGCAGACAGGAGCTCCTCCAGGCCTGGGGTCTGCTCACAGGCAGGGGACACCTTGGTCCCTTCCAGCTCCTCTGTGCAGACACCACCCGGAGGAGACGGGCGACTGGCCGAGAATTCTCGATGCTCTGGTCCTGCCCTGACTGCGGGAGGGGCCTGGGGCGTCCACAGGTGTCAGCCGCCTGTCCCTTGCCTTCCAGTCACCCCCGTGTTCAGCAGCATTCCCAGCGACCAGACGGTGGAGGTGGGCACCAACGTGCAGCTCCCCTGCAGCTCCCAGGGGGAGCCCGAGCCGGCCATCACCTGGAACAAGGTACCCACTGCGGGCAGCGGGACGCAAGGGGTGACCGCCACCTCCCATTGCTTCTGCAGACGTCCCACAGCAGAGGAAACATCCCAGCTGTAGGCCTGAGTTGAAGGATTTTGCTGCTATTCTCAGTAATAAAACCAAAATGAGACAGACCCAGAGTGGCTTTCTCACGTCCTCACGGGGACGGTAGCATAAAAATCCTTCTCAGACCCTTGGCCTCGTAACCAGTAGAGAAGGTTTTTTGTTGTTTTCGTTCCCTGTTGTTTCTATTAAGCCCAATAAAANAGATTTTGCTGCTATTCTCAGTAATAAAACCAAAACGAGACAGACCCAGAGTGAAATCCTTCTCAGACCCTTGGCCTCGTAACCAGTCGAGAAGGTTTTTTGTTGTTTTCGTTCCCTGTTGTTTCTATTAAGCCCAATAAAAAATGCGTAACAGGGTTTAGACATACGGACAAATGCTCTGGTGCAGGCGTGTGCGTCCCGAGGACGGGTGGCCTCGGAAGGAGCTGTGTGTTCTTGGGCCGGCGGAGCTGTGTCCTCTGCAGCTGGGGCGTCGCTGTCCTTCCCCGAGACGGTNTAAAAAATGCGTAACAGGGTTTAGACATACGGACAAATGCTCTGGTGCAGGCGTGTGCGTCCCGAGGACGGGTGGCCTCGGAAGGAGCTGTGTCCTCTGCAGCTGGGGCGTCGCTGTCCTTCCCCGAGACGGTGCCCGGGCCCTTCTCCCTGCCCGGTGCCCGTGTCCCGTGGCTCCTCGCTGTGGGCCTCACCCCACGGGGTCGCCTTTTGTTCCCCCCCTCCCCAGTCCTGGGAAACCCCGGGAGCGTGGCTTTTTGCTGGATGCCCCTGGATGGTTGGCAGGCAGGTCAGACAAGTTTATCCCATTGAGTCGGTCGGTACTGGGTGAGTCGGATTAAATCTCGTCTTTCCAATTACGGGTGAGTCTGAGCTCAGCCTCGCCTGCGTTTCCACCCTGAGGCCCTGACGGCCGGCACCCCCACCACCCGGAATAAACAACCCCGATTCTTTGTCTCACTTCTGTGGTTTCTCCTCCGTTTTGCTGCAGGATGGGGTCCAGGTGACGGAAAGTGGGAAATTTCACATTAGCCCCGAGGGGTTCCTGACTATCCACGACGTCGGGACCGCGGACGCAGGCCGCTACGAGTGCGTGGCCCGGAACACGATCGGGCAGGCGTCGGTCAGCATGGTGCTCAGCGTGAGCGGTAAGGGCGCCCAGCCCGGGTTCCCGCGGCTGGCAGACGTCCCCCGCCTGTGCCGGAGGCCACGGGAGGAAGGCGCCCAGGCCCCCAGCGCAGGTCCAGGCTCACGGGGGTATTAGCAGGTGGCGCGGCCAGAGCCCTAGTCTGCAGGGCGGCCACCAGGGCCCCGTTGGTCGGCGGCCGGGCCGGGCGCGCTCAGGAGCCCTCCTGCTTCCTGCTGCTCCGTGACCTGCGGGCCACGCGGCCGACTTGCTCACGGCGCCTCCCGCTGGCTTGGTGGTGGGTTTAGTCCTCATCAGACGCCCGCAGATCAGCAGCGCGTCCCTCAGCCACCATTTGGCAGAAGTGCTGTCACTGCCTTGCAGGCGGCCGCTGCTCCGCTCCGGGTGCGTCACGTCCCGAGTGTCTCCAGCCCAAACCTCCACGCAGTCCCCCAGGGAGCGGCTGCGTGGAGCCCGGGACCTGGCTCGGGCCGCTTCAGACGGTAGAGATTGGTTGGAACGGGATTGTTATTATGACTTTTAAATGTCTTTTTATTGACTTTTTAATTTAATTTTTATCTTTTTAATTTTTACTTATTTTTATTTACTTATTTTTTACTTCTCACTTGAGGATATTTTTCCACTGCTTTTCAGAGAGTGGAAAGGGGGGAGAGAAACAGCGACATGAGAGGCACATCGACTGGTTGCCTCCTGCTCGCGCCCTGACCAGGGCCGAGGGTCGAGCCTGCAACCCAGGCACCTGCCCTTGGCCAGAATTGAACCCGGGACCTTCAGTCCAAGGACTGAGGCTCTAACCACTGAGCCAGACCTGCCAGGGCTATTTTTTAGAGAGAGGAC